GCTTGTTGACCACATACAAACGTAGAATCTTAATTTAGATGGGATTTTTTCTCTCTTTAAATTTCCTATGATTCACACCTCCAGATGAGCCAGAGTAGAATATAGAAATGTGACTAGAATCCAGCTAACCAACAATCAAGCTCCCCCTCTAGATCTATGACAAGTTCCCTCTGGACTTCTGCATCCTGTCCTTAGTTAAAAAACCTGACAAGGTTTAGGATTCTGTCCTATGGACTACCCTAGAGCCTGGATAGCCCCCAACCCACACTTTTAGGATGCCTCTGTTCCAGGCCTATGTCCAGTCCCCTGGACACTGGTTGTCTGACCTATAGAAAGTCTCTCTTCTTTCCCCACTGCCCACAGACAGAGCCACAGCCCATCACAGCACCTGACCCCACTTTCTTACCTGATTTAGAGTAGGTCAGCAGCAAGACATCTGCATCCGTAAACACAAAATTATCCCACTCTTCTGTCAGGAAAGCAGGTGTGAAAACCACAGTCAGAAAAAATACACCATTAATCCTTTTATTTTCACCAGGATTTATAACTGTGTCTTCATGAAAGATCTTGTGGTCCATGATTGGAGGCTCCACCACTAACTGTAAGATCCACATTAGAATAAAGTCCAAACAATTCGTACTAGCTTTTACATCTTTTAATCTCTATCCAGTTCACTGCAATGATAGGCAGGTTCAAAGTTAAAGATATTATGAAACTGTCAGTTCTTTCTTTCTTTCTTTTTTAATTTTTTTATTAGTGAAACACCATGAGGTATAGGTCTTTTTTAGGGCACTGTCTGTCAGTCACTGTCCTCCCATTGTTCATCGATTTGCTCAAGCGGGCCCGGTAGCATTGTGAGACTTGTTACTGTGATTGGCATATCGAAAACATCACAGGTAGCTTGCCAGGCTTTGCTGTGTGGGCGAGATACTCTCGGTAACTTGCCGGGCTGTGGAAATCTGAGTATGAATCCTGAGAAGGAAAGTAATTCGAGAGCAAGCCCAAGAAGAAAGGATATGGGGTGCAGTGCTTAAAATGTTTTTAATCAACTTTGTTTTTTAGAATGGTTTTAGTGGCAAAGTAGAAAAAGTGCAATGAAAGAGGAGAAGGACACACCACAAAGCCACCACTGGCCAAACTCCATCACCTCAGGACTACTGAGGCTCATAGCAAGCTTAACTGGCTGAAAACTCAGATACTCGAGTCCCTGTTGTTAAAAGCTCAGGACCTTCTCGGAATTGGGATGGACAACATCCCCCCACTTCCCTGGACTTCTGGATGTGATGTCCCTGCAGTCACACCCACAACCACTTCCATCACCATGTAAACAGAGTAAAAATAATAATAATAATAATAACTCCAGCCGACTGACTAGTCAAAACCTCTTAATTTTTTTGTGGCTGCATAACATTTCCAAACTCTACATCACTGACAATCCAGTAGTAGCACACCAGATTGAATGAGGTGTAATGTAGACACCAACCAACTTCAGCTAATAAAAACATTAACACAGGAGATTAACTTGTAATATATTAGTGATCCCTCAGACAAAGACTTAATAATCACATGGTTAGATACAAGAATTTTCAGTAATTTTCTTCAAAGGAAATAATTTTTGATCATTCTCTTGGCAATTTATGGGTAACAAGTAATTTAAAATTGTTGGGGATGGACCTAGGCACCCCCTGCCTCTATCCTTCTAAACAGGGACTGGGTGCAGAGGGGGCCTAGGTACTCCCACCTCTGTCCCTGTGAACAGGAATGGGTGTGAAGAAACTTGGCATGAGAGTGAGCCGTCCCCTGACAGCAGGACTTGACAGGCGGCTGAAGGGCCACCATGCTCTGGCGGCCAGCCTGGAAAGGGGGTCTAAGGGCCACCATGCTCTGGCGACCTGCCTCGAGAGAAAAGCTGAAGGGTCACCATGGTCTGGCAGCTGGACTTGAGAAGAGGCTGAAGGGAGGATTGGCTTGTATCTGCCTTGGCCAGGCCCAAAGCCACATCTCCACTCCTTGTTTCTCAGGGCTGAGATAGGGAATCGAAAAACAAGAAGGAACCGAAAAACAAGTAATATTGGCAAAAATAAAGTTGCTTGCACAGCATGATTAATATTGTTAATGAAGCTTATGTAACCTGCTGATCATTGCTAAAATAATACTATATAAACCAGCTTGGATTAAAATAAACTTGCTGTATGCCGCATATTGCATGCAGTCCTCTCTAGCCCTGTTAGCTCTCATTCCCTCACTCCGGCCAAGGTTCAAGTTTGCCGCCCAGGACACGGCATAAAATAAATTCTTGTGGACCTACACAAAGACAGGCTTGAGGGTTGGCTGGGAAAATGGGGACAATGGTGAAGGAAAGCAACTTTGGTGGGATTAGTGTTAGAATATTAAATACCTGTAACAAATCATCATGAGCAACTTTTACACCCCTGTGCTTAAATAAAGTGGGGTGGGGGGCAAAAAAGAAGAGGAGAAGAAGATATTCTGTGAAGAATATTGTTGGGATAAATGCGTCTTTTTTTGCTTTGTTTGTGGGTCACACCTGGTGGTGTTCAGGACCTACTCCTGGCTTTGCACTCAGGGGACCATATGGGCTGCCAGGGATCCAATCCAGATCAGCTGCGTGCAAGGCAAATGCCCTATCCGTTATCTTATTACTCCAGCCCCAAATGCCTCTTTAATAAAAACAAACAAAACCCAAGGATTCCACCTTCCACTCAGTCCTCATGTCCCAAAGGCTCGTCAGACTTTCCTCAGGATTGAGGACCTTGACAGTTGTAAGGTGGACTGGTCAGGTGCTTTGTGGAATTCTCTCTATTGGGGTCTGCCTGATCACTTTATTCATTTTTCAGGTCTTTTAGATGGGAGAGATAATATAGGGAAAATATTATGATGGTCACAATGTTTTACAATGGTGTCTATTGTCAGTACAGATTGTTGCTATTGCTTTGAAGTAGTCTCAGTAATGGGTGTGAGATTTCTCTACTGTAAATCCTCCCTCACCCTTGCTTAGATGTGGGACCATTCACAACGCGGACTGAGATGCAGACCATCAGGCATGGTTTAGAAGGCCTTCACTGGGGCCAGAGACAGCAGGACCCAAGTTAAAATCCTGGTATCCCTTATGAGCTCCTGAACCTGTCAAGAGTAATCCCTGAGCGTAGAGCCAAACGTAAGCTCTGAACACTTCTAGGCATGGCCCAAAAGCCAAAAGTAAATAAATAGGGAGCTTGTGATTCCCGTACATGGACCCCTAGGACAGGAAGCCATACCCACCCCCTACACTCTTCCTTATAAACTGTGTTCATACAAAAAAAACTAGAAATATTATGAGAAGTAAATTTACTATGATTGTTTAAATGGATTACTAGCTGAGGGAAGGAGAAAGCAATACACCCTGGATGGAATCCCGCCCTTGAGTAGATCTCCTAGTAATATGGAGTGCTGAACCCTCAGATGAGATTAATCTCCTGAAGGAAGGGTATTATCTCTGATTGTTGTCATGATAATGTTCAATCCCACCTTTGTGTATCCCCACCCTTCATGATTCCTATATAACTTTGCTGTAAAGGAGGAGAAGGAAGACTTTGGATATTTTGGGACTTTGGGACTTTTGGCACTTAGGATGAGAACTGAAACTTTAGGACTTTGAGACTTTGAGGACTAGAAGGAGGACTAGATGAGTACAATGACTGGAAGTAGAGAACTATGAGACTATGACTATAGTGAAGAATAGAACAAAGTAGAGGACTACAAGGAGACTAGGATGATGGAACTATGATGACTGGGACTATGACCAAAATACAACTAGGATTGTGCCGTAAGGGGAGAGATCTGACTATCCTGGGGAGGAGAGAGAAATAAACAGACAGCCGACCAGCCCAGGTCCGTTTCTCTGTTCCCCGGGTTCTTTATCTGTCTGTCGCCATCATCCAGCCTGGGGAGGCAGCTCTCAGTCACCAAATGCTAGAGTCTCCTGTGTGCCCATGCCTTTTCTTTAGAAGCTCGCAGCAGCTCTCAGTCAATGAATGCTCGAGTCCTGTGGGCTCCACCACACTTTTCTTGGAAACTCACAGGTGGGTGGATGGATGGATGAATGGATGGATGGCATACTGGTGAACTGATGATAGATGAATTTGTGGATGGGTGGGTGGGTGGGTGGGTGGATGAAGATGTATGGATGAATGCATGATGGATGGGGATGAATAGATGGATGGATGGGTGGATAAGTAGGTGGATAATGGATGGCAGACAAGGATATGTGGTTGGGTATATGGATGGGTGGATAGAGGAGGAGTGGGTGGGTGGGTAGATGAATGATATATGGACATATGCAGGGGGAGGAAGCTTCCAGGAATGTTTCTGCAGCCCTCTTGTAGAGCTGAGGATTTGAAGAACTCTCTTTTCACAGTAACTTTTTGGGGAGATTGTGTGTGGGGGGGGAGGGTGTTGAGGATTAATTACCAGGAGATCAGCTTGACCTAAACCTTGTTAATCCAGATTTATGATTTAAATCGGTAGCCTGTGCATCTGACACAGGGAGGAGGAAGTAGATGAGCAGAGGGGAAAGCACTCTATATACTTTCAAGAAATCAGGAAAGGGGGGAAGGAAGGAAACCCTTAATTAACCCTTTGCAGGTCTGGTGGATTCAGGAGCCTAGTTTCCAGATGGCCTTGCCTCTCTCTTTTGGAGGAGACTTGTAGCAGCTGAGGAGTGGAGGAGGGAACGGAAAGACTGTTTTACCCTTTAAGGAACCTGAAGGAGAACCAGGAAGGTTACAGGGACATCAGGTTACATGGATCCAAGCACATCTTTAATTTGGGGGTGTTTGGAGTGGCAGCTGGCCCCAAGTGCTCTTTCATGTCCGTCCCATACATGTTTCATTCTTACTCCAGTTCTGTGGGTGCCCTCCGGCCCGTAGCCTGGACACAGCCATCCCAATCCAACTACTCTCCCCACCCTGCCTGAAGGAGCCACAGGGTCAATCTTCCAAAGTGCTTGTTCCACGCCAGTCAGGAGAGGACTGAGGTGTCCAGAACTTTCTCAGCGAGACATCATCTTCACAAATTCTGCAAGGGAAAGTTCCTGGTAAGGCCCCTGTTTGTAGGAGTCATTGGTGGGATCCTTACTGTTTTGTTTTTGAGCCATGCAATGTGTTGGGGAACAAAAGTGAGCTTCAGGGAATGACTGGACTCTCCAAAGCCTCAATTTCGTTCTCTGACACCTGGGAATTATGGGATGGTTACTGACAAGGTTCTTCAAATGCTACAACAGTCAAATGTTCATAAGACATGTGAAGTGTGGGGCCAGAGACATGGTACAGCAGGGAAGGCACTTGTCTTGCTTATGTCCAACCTGGGTTCTATCTCCAGCACCCCAGATGGTTCTTCCAAGCCTTGCCAGGAGTAATCCCTGAGCACAGAGCCAGGAGTTAACCCTGAGCACTGCCGGGCATGGAGCCCCAAAAACGAACCAAGAATAAAAGACATGTGAAGTGTTGTATATATGGTGTAATGAGTCTCTTTATTTCCTCTCCTCAACAAATTCTGGAGGCATAAAGGCCATTTTACTGGCCAGATGCCATGAGGTTGGCCAATATACCTAAGGTCGATGGTGAGTCTGTCCTGCTCTGACCAGGCTGGGACTCAAAGATAAATGAACCAGTTGTTTTCCATCCCTGCCTAAATGTCAATTCACCCTGTAACATGAGCAAGGTCTGGGTCACAATTCTTATCACTGAAACCTGGAGTGTCCTCATCACCCTATTCTACAAAGCTGGAAGTGAGGGAGGTTTAATCTGACGGAGTAACTAGGACATGCCCACATAGGTGAGAGGGTCCTGAATTGGAAACGCCTATGAACCCTGGTTCCCAGCGACTCAACTGTCCACTCTCCACCAGGTAGGGCACTGCGTCTTCCCCAACCCCCCTAGAAAAAGGTGCCCAGGGACAGAGGAAGGGAAGAGAAAAGTAACAGTGAGTTCTGCCAGCTGCCCTGAGTAGGAAGGGGACTCCGTAGGAGGGGTGCTGAGGAGCAGCCCCAAGTGAGAGCGAGCCTAGAGATGAAGCCCTTGGAGATGGCATGAGGAGAAAGGGCTGGGACATGTGCTCCCAACGCTTGAACCCTAAGCTGGGAAGAAAGACAGAAAGAGGAAAAGGCCAGATTGGAGGGAATGGGGGAAACCAACGGAGAAATTAGAGGGAGGTTCCCGAGGTGAATCCTCAAAAAAATCCCACCTTCAAAGTCGACAGTGCCATCCCCGTTCACATCAGCTTCCTGGACAACCTCGGCAATCTCTTGGGGGCTGAGCTTCTCCCCCAGGAGCCTTTGCATGGCCTGCTGCAGCTCCCCAAGGGTGATCTCCCCATCTCCATTAGCGTCAAACTGCACAGGAGCAGAACAGAGGATTTAGCAGCCCCCTGGCCTCCACCAGACCGAGAGTGGCTGAGCCAGGAACTCAGCTGAGCATGGAGTCAAAACATCAGCCTCCAGAATGCACATGCAGGACAACCACCAGCCTTTGGGGCTCTGGTAGGGCACCAACCCTGGTTGAGAACCCACCATACACACACACACACACACACACACACACACACACACACACACACACACACACCACTCCTCTAACAGGAAGCAACTTCTCCACTTACTTCCTTGAAGGCATCTCGCAGCTCCTGGACTCCGATCATGCCAGCAGTTTCTGCCAGCAGCCTGGGGGCCATCAGCTCCACAAAGTCATCAAAATCCACACGACCCCCTGCTACGGAGAGCAGAAGAGGGTCCTGTGAGGGTCCAAGCCCCTTCCCTGGGGGCCTGACTTTAAGGGAGGGGTCTGTGCCCATTCCCCGGCCTGCTAACAGCTGTACCAAAGAAGACCCAAGAAATCCTGGTGCGTGAAAGGACAGACACAAACAAGCATCTGTCATCTGTCCCACACCTGCCTGACTGCCTGCATTGGCTAGACAAAGAATAAACATAAGCTGAGAAAAGATTCCTTGAGTCAAGCTGTCCTTGGGTCCCCTCAGCTGCACAGTGGGCCAGGGGTGGGTTTAGGCTGGTCCAGGATGCCATGCATGTCACTGTGATCCAACTTCATCTGGAGGGGGGCTGGGAGAGACAAAGCAGCAAGCCTGTCTGTCCATCACACTCCTCATGTCCAGCCTGTTTGCACTATAACCTGGAGCAAAGGAAACAGCGGCTTCAGGGCCAGGCACTGCCCAAACCCATAGCCTCCAAGATTGGCTGCGCCCTTTTATTTATTTTTATTTTTATTATTTTTTTTTTTTTTGCTTTTTGGGTCACACCACACTATGCTTAAGGGTTACTCCTTCTCTGCACTCAGCAATTACTCCTTGTAGTGCTCAGGGGACCATATGGGATGTCAGGGATTGAACCTGGGTTGGCCGCATGCAAGGCAAATGCTCTCTCAGCTGTGCTAGAGCTGACCCCTGGCTATGCCTTTAAGGGTGATCCTGACCTGCACTTCGGTCTCCACAGGCTGGGAGCATGGGTGGGGGCAGAGGTGATGACCTAGCCTTACACTAAGCCTGGACCTGCCCTTCCTGCGCCCTTGAAGGCCGCCTCAGAACCAAGGAGGGTTTGTACCTTCACTGGGCAGATGGGGAAACTGAGGCTCAAGAAGGTGCTAGTCAACTTTCCTTTTCAAATAGACCAGGAATAGTAAGTCAGTGCACAGAGGCTGCAGCCAGAGTCAGTCTCTGCCCTTGTGTGGAGTCTTAGCTGTTTCCTTCCAGACTTTCCCCCCTCCCACTCACTCCAGTTCCTGTGCCCCTGGCCCACCCCATCCCCAGTCTCACAGTTCATGCGGATTTGCTGGCCCAGTTCTGTCAGCTCCATCTCCGTGGGCATGTACCCCATCGTCCTCATGAGATTGCCCAGGTCTTTACACGAGATAAATCCATCTCTGTCCTTGTCAAACTCCAAAAATGCTTCCCGGAGCTCTGAAAGTTGAGCGAGAAGGTGGGCGGGCAGGGGGTAGGGGTGGAGGCATTGAAACAATCAGAGGATATGGTGGGGTCCCTTGAAAACATCCCTGAGGCTCTAAGGAAGGGGAACACATTTCAAAAATCCCAACTTGGGGACTGGGGGATGGGGCTTGGGCACCACATCTGGCAGTGCTAAGGGCTTACTTCTGGCTCTGCAGGAGTAAGGGGTCACTTCTGGTGGTGCTTGGGAGATCATATGGGATGCCAGAGATCAAACCTGGTTGGCTGTGTGCAAGGCAAGCGCCCTCCCCACTGAGCTATCTCTCCAGCTCAAAAACCCGTTTTTTTTTTTTTGTTTTTTTGTTTTGTTTTGTTTTTTCAGTGAATGGAGGAATGTGAGCCTTGTGTAGAGGAATCATTCCTGTGACTGGAGAAGGGGCCACAGACACACCTTCCAAGTCTGGGGTGAGTTTTCTCATTTCCCTAAGCTGGTGCATCCCCCCAGAACTGTGAGACACTTGGAGGAAGAAATGCTTTTCCAGGGCATGAGAGAAAGCTCCAGAGTAATCAGGATGGGAAAGAGCAGGGACCCTTTCCCGGGAATTTTACATGACAGGCTGGCAGGTGCAGGGTGGGGCAGGTTTGGTGCATCACCTTCCATCTCATCTTGTCCCAATGGTCTCTCCTGGAGCGAGGTGCAGGGGAGAGGGTTGAGGATGCATCAGTGCTCCCACACGTTTATGCTTCATCCTTCCAGAGCTGACTCCAGGCTCACCTCCCTTCCTCCCAACTCATTCCCCTGGTGATGGGGAGGGGGAGGGGTTGGGGGGAAACCCTGCCACCACCAAGTCCTGTCTTTTCTGACCATCTTTATCAGATGGGCAGAAAGAGCATTTCTGTGAGGATCAGAGAGGGTAGGGAAATTGCCTGAGGGCACAAAGCTGCAAGATCCCCACCCAGACCAGGGAGTGACGTGACATTCCTCCCTGGCTGTCACACAGGAGGCCAGAAGCAGCATATGGGTCCTCCCGTCACCCACCCACCCCCAGCTCTGGCTTCTTTCCAGACCCCCCTGATGATTCATTCCCCACCCACTTCTGTACCTTCTGCCCAGGACTCTACCCAGAGTCCAGTGACCTGCAGGCTGAGGCCCCAGCCCAGATGTCCCCAGTGTCAGTTATGACTCCAGCTCTTTCTTGCTGCCCCTGCCCCTACCCTCCCCCCCCCACCAAAATGCTCCTGGGGTCATCTAATACCTCAGGGAATGAAGTCTGCCCCCTGGGAACCACATAGGTCTCAGGAAGGGCTGCCTGAGGTAGGTCACCACTTCCCTATCCGTAGATTAGGGATGAAACTCTCACCAACCCCAGCTTAAGGGTACCAGGAAGGCAAAGAACTTTGGCACGAGGAAGACAAGGGTACCAGGAAGACAAAGAACTTTCCCAGGGCAGGGCACGGGGAAACAGCTTAATAAAGAGCAAAGGCTATCACCATCATCATCATCATCACCATCATCACCACCACCGTCACCATCACCACCATCACCACAACCACTATCATCACCATCGTCAGTGAGCATCCATGGGCCAGACAGGTCTTTGGTATTGCCGCCCCCCAACCCCGCACCTTTCCATTTCACACCCCCTTTCTCTCCTGGCCTCATCTCCCCTCCTCCCCGGCATGCTCCCTGGAAGTTCTGCCCTCCCTAGCCCCTCTATTTCCTGACCCCATCCCCTCCCATCCTTCCCCTATCATCACAGTCCCCTGTGCCCTCCTCACCCGCTGTTTCTCTGCAATGCCCTTTCTCAGGAAGATGCAGGCAGGCCCCATTGGGAACTGCATGGCGGTGTAGCCAGTGCTCACTGGGTCCAGCAGCAAAAGTGACACCCCCACAGGGCCTCTGTGCTGCTGGCTTGGCCTTCCCCCTCCGCCCCCCCTCCCGAATCTGAGAGCTGGACATCTGGGAGGGAACTATCTGCCTTGGGGGAGACAGGCCCACGTGGTTTACCCTTCCATCTGTGCTGGGGCAGGGCGGGAAGGGGGGCCAGGATCAGGGTTCTGGGCTTTGCAATCCCCATGATGGATCTGGGTAGGCAGCTGCAGGATGGGGCTTAGGCAAAGAAATCTGTGCTCCCCACTTTCCAACAAACCTGGCGCCCAGCCTGGCCTCTGCCCAGGGCCTGACCTCATTCACTGGGCCTGACCCCAGCACCCTGGCAGCTGAGTATCGAGCTTGCACAGAGGGACAGCTGTGCAGACTTGGCAAGGGGTACGTGCTTCTGGGTGCAGGAGCCCAGGATCCATCCAAGCATTATTGAAAATAGTCCTCAGATCACAAGCTTAAGAAATGAAGCTCAGTCAACCCTGGGTTCAATCCCTGGCACTCCATTTGGTCCTTGAGCCCCGTCAGGGGTGAACCCTGAATGTAGAGCCAGGGGTGAGCCCTGAGCACCACTGGGTATCCCTGGTGGCCTCTGCTGCACCTGGTTGATCAGCACCACGACGCTGGGCTGCACACTGAATTGTCTGAATGTGCTGATTACCACCAGGTGAGGCCCCCTTAGTACTGCTAGAGGCCTCTCCACATCTAACAGGAGACAGAGGTTCTTGTGCTTACTCTGCTTGCCCCTTTCCCTCCTTTTTTCAGTGAGCCAAGGTGGGGAAATTATGTAATCCACATGGGGGGTGGGGGGAGCCAGTGTCCCTCTAAAGGGCAGTTTGGGCTAGTGCTGGGGTCTGGGAAAGTGAAGATGGCCCCCAGTAAGGGCTTGGGGAGAAATGGAAGCACAGGGCAAGGGAGTCCCATGCCCCATCTCCCCACCTCCCCTGGGGCACTGTGAAGGACTCTACTGCAGGAACAGGGAGCAACTGGCGAGGGGAGCATTGTGCTGGGTCCACCTTTGGGGTGCAGGTGTGTCTGCTTGGGTTTCAAGCACTCGCAAAGATCACCATGTGCTGGGGACCCTGCGTGCCCTTTCTCTCAGGGGGAATTGTCACTGTCCTCCCGTTCGATTTGCTCAAGAGGGTCCAGTAACGTCTCCATTGTGAGACTTGTTACTGTGTTTGGCATATCGAATACGTCATAGGTAGCTTGCCAAGCTTTGCTGTGCAGGCGAGATACTCTCGGCAGCTTGCCGGGCTGAGAGGGGTGGAGGAATCAAACCTGGGTTGGCCTGGTCAGCCAGGTCATCCGTGTGCAAGGCAAACGCCCTACCCACTGTGCTATCACTCCAGCCCCTCTCAGGGGAAACACCCCAATATTAGCAAGCACACTGAGCAGCCAGTCTTGACTTCCAAACACCAGTCTCCGTGGAAAGGAACCAAGATCTGCAGAGCAGACAATTTCGTGCCAGGGGCTTCGGCCCTAAAACCACCCGATGACAGCCAAGTGCTGGAAAGGGCGGCGGCTGTGTCCAGGGGGCTCAGGGGCCTGCTCTATGGGGTGGGGCAAGCAGAGGCGGCTGTACTTGCCAGTCCCACCTTAGGAGAGCCTCGTTTCAAGGGAGTCACCTCAGGAGGTGGGTAGGCCTGGCAGCTGGTTCAGGGTCAGGTGAAGTTGACAGCCTGCAGGAACGAGCACTGAAAGAAGTGTCTGCTCCCCCAGAGCCTGCGTCACAGACACTGCCATCTCTGGGTGTCCCCACCCCGGGGAGAAGGCATAAATGTTTCCAGGCCCTGCAGGAATTCAGGGTGGTGCCTGATGCAGGATCCCTTTACACCTCATGAGAACTATTCCTTAAGCTTTTATTCTAACTTAATTATCCAAACCCATGTTAGTTTGCCATCCTTTAAGGGAAAGACGTGTGAGGAATTCTTAACAAGAAATAAAAAGCCCTTCTATGGTGGCATCCACACGAGATACGCATGCAGACATGGCTGTGTGGGGCTGGGCTGCAGCTCCAACACCTCACAGCTGGACAGTGCAGGGGCAGGAACCTGCTGAGCCTGAACCGGTTCTGCCTTGCACAGAACCTCCTGCTCTGTGGGGTGTCCACATCCTCCTGGGCAGAGCAGCAGCCACACAGCGCAAGGCAGCACTTGCAACGGGCCAGTGCCTCTGAGGGTGGGAGACTCAAATGTTGCGATATCCATGAACACGCTGGAACTCATGAGTACCACCGGTGGCTTACGCTTGGCTGTGACTTCGTATAAATTCAGCGCAGGCATCCACTCCTGCCAGGAACTAGAGTCAGAGCTGTATCTCAAGGCGACAGCGCATCCCAGAAAGGGATGAGGCTTCCCCTGGCGTGGCTGGGTGGACTGGCTCCAGCGTACACACTACAGTGGCCTGTGTGAGTCCCAGTTCTGCTGCCCACCACAGAAGTGGTCACGCCTCAGTCCGTGAGGGCAGACTGAGGTGTCCTGGTTTCTCACGTCTCACACAGGTCTGGCATGCCATCAATACTATACTTTTCTGATCATAAGGGGAGCTGGTGATGACAGCCCTTCTCAGATATGGTGGGAGCTGGATTCGTCACCTTGGAACCAGGAGGCAACAACCAGCATGAACACGGTTCTTTGCTCATCAGATCTGCACCCCAGCCCCAGGAGCCCTGACAAGGGGGAGTCTGCCATCAACATTTATTCAACTAAACTGACCCCAGAGCCCTGCCAAACCCCCTCATAGAACCCAAGCGGTGGCCCCAGCTGTGCTAACTGTAGCCCTGCAGTCCAACCAGGCCAGAGGCGGGGCCTAGTAGAAATCTTCCTGATCCGAGTCGGACTCCGTGCCTTGCTGGTTCTGGATCTGACTCTGCTTCTTGTATAGACAAGCCACCTGCAGGAGACGGGGAGACAACTCAGAAGTCCTGGGGTGGCCCACCGGCAGCATCTGCGGTTGAAGACGCTGGCCCAACCCATCCTGGGGCTTACCTGGGCGCTGGTGGTAGCCTGCTCCGGCTTCTTGTCCTCCCGCACACGGATGAACCGAGGGAAGCGAAGGGAGATGCCCTTCTCACTGTCCACCTGGGGACGGGGGCAGGGTTCTCAGGCCACCCTGGGAGAGCACAGGTCCCCAGAGTGAGCCTGTCCCAGTCCCAGGCAAAGAATTCAACTTGGCACCAACACTGAAGTACCTGGGGCCATGCTGGAACAAGGAGCCCCCAATGCCTGCCGTGGCAGCTGCTGCCAGGGCAGGTTCTTGAACCAGACTGGGTAAACCCAAAGCTCCCCGGGGCTCAAGGTTCCCCTCTAAACCGGGAGATGTTCTGCACCAGCAGCCCCCCTCCCACCTGGGGGCCCATCTGCACAGGCAATTCCACAGCTCTGACACCTAACGGGATGCAGGAACAAGACACTCCAGCCCAGAGCAGCAGCTTCCCGCAGCCAGAACCGCTCAGGACAGAGCCCTGCTCCCTGTGTAGGAGCTGTGGGTCCGAGGCACAGCAGAGACCACCCCTGGGAGGAGGCCCCCAGCTGTTTGAAGCCTGAAGCAGATGCGGCTGTGTCTGAGGAAGGAGTTGGCCCTTCCTGACTCCACAAGGCCTCGGGAGCTGGGCCGCTGAATGGTCTCACATGTTCTACCTGCTCCCAGAGCATTTCTCTAACAAGAAAGACTCGGGGCACAAATAAGACGTGCCCCCCACTCACCAGACCACGGGCTGCCGGGTAGATGGGGGACAGGGAGAGGTCTGCGCACTTCACCTCCCACACGGTGCTGGGTTCCAACCAGTGGTCGGGGGCCACGGCGCCCTCTCCCCGCACGTAGGAGCGAGGTGCGGGCAGCAACAGCGTCTGCGATAGGGCCGGTGGGACGGAGGGTCAGTCGTGGCCAAAACTTGGGGAGGGCAGAGATGACACACACACCCCCGGAAGGAGAGAGCAAGGAGAAAGAAACCTGGGGCTGGGCAGGACACAGGCAGAAGGGGCCCAGCAGGACACTGAGAGGATGGGCCAAGAGCTGGGTGGGGGGACAGAGACAGGACGCCAAGATGCCAGCACACGCCACCCTAAGCAGAAGGACTTCTCTGTTCTACGACAATCCACCTAGGGTCCGTAGTGTCCTAAGCCCCAGGACAACTATGGGCGGGGCAGCGGACCTGGGCCCCCTGTAGCCTCCTGCCCCACAGCCCCCACCACCCCCCACGGCCCCTCACCTGCAAGCGCTGGTGATGCTCCTCCAGCTCCTCATCGCTGAAGCCGGTCCCGAGCTGCAGGAAGGCAGGAGTGGACGGCAAGGCCAGGGCAAGGGCCCTAAGGCCCACTCACAGCAGCCCCAGCCCCACCCCCTCCACGCCATCTCCCCAACAGGAACTGGCACCCGGAGCCCTCAGTGCCTGCTGGCCCCAGTGCTCAGCTCCCACCTGAGCTGCACTGGGTGTTCCTTCACCCCCAGAACAGAGAAGGTGCAAACAGCACCCAAGGCTCTGAACAGGCAGGGGGTTGGGGGGTAGTCTGGGGTGCAGGTGGGAGCCCTTTGTCCCCACGGCTCTCGTAGGCTGTGACTCTCCTGTCACCTACACATGACGTGGACAGGGGTGACCCCCATGCAGGGCTACTCTGGTTGGTACCAAACTCCCAAAGCCCTCTGGAGCTCTGCCCCCCGCCCCCATCTGAGGTCCTGGGGCCCAGGGAGAGCGTGAGAATGTGTACACACCACCCCTCACACACACTGTTCCTCAGGGTAGGGGCGAGAAGGAAGTGAGTCGCAGGTATGAGGGACAAAGCACTGTGCAGCATGCAGGGGCCCAGCTGCCTCTCCCCAGAGCAGAATTCCGGGGCGGCTCCAGCCCACTGGGTCCACAGTGTGCCCGGATTTCAGCAGAGACAGAGCCTGATGCACCTCCCAGGCTCCCTCACAGGCCAAGCTGGAGCCAGGGGAGTCCCCAAGGAGTTTCTCACTGGCTGGGGCTGACCCAGAGGCCCACCGCTGCCTCCCTCCTGCTGCTTGGTGCAAGCCCTGGCCATGATGGCTGGAGGGCCTGCAGCCATGCCGTAAGGATGAGGCCAGAAGAACATGATGGGTCATCAGTGCCCTCATGCCCCCTTCGTTACACAGGAGAAACATTTCCCCTCACTCCAAGTCCTCATATTCCCCCTGTGGCAGTCCATCCGACTGCAGGTCAGTCTTAGGACAAAAATAAACAGTGCCCAAAGTAGCCTTGGGGCAGGCCAGAGCGCACCTTGCATATGGCCTGGAACTCCTCGCTCTCCTCATCGTAGGCAGCCAGCAGGAAGCCCCCGTAGCGGCCAGCCCGCTTGCCCCGGCCCAGGTAGGCACCGATGACCACGAGGTCCAGGGTGTCGCCCACGCCCTCCAGGTAGTCCTTCTTCAGCTGCAAGGGGCGAGAGTGGGAAGTGAGGTGTGACTGCAATCCCCGTTACTGAGGTCTCAGAAGAGGGACGGGGGAGAACCCCCAGAGGAGCTGCTCCTGGAGACTGCGAATGGTGGGGAGGGAGGGGGTCCGGGTGGACAGGAACAGTCACAGCTTTTTCCAGAAATGTCTAAGGGACGAGTGGGAGGAGTAAGGCAAGAGCGGGGCTCGTGGCACGTGCCGCTTCCCTTGCCCTGCTCAGGCCCAGAAGTGGGAAGGACCAGAGGCAGCTGTGAGGTTCAGAGGCTTCGTAGGGGCCTGGCTGGCCTCCTGCCAGGCTCTCCTGTACCCAAGCACCCCTGGACAACAGCCCCTGCCCACAGAAACAGGCGCAGGGCTGATGCAGGACTTCCTGCCTCTCCCCTACACATCGGGAGCCCACGCAACTCTGCCAAGAGCTGGGTCACACGGGACCTGTCCCCATAGGCTCACCAGGGCCCTCCCGGACCACGTTCCCCACCTGCTCCAGGGAGTGCCGCCCCTGACAGCCCCCCGAGATGCTCTCACACCCGTCCCCTCCCCCATCTCACACCCAAGCCAACCCCATACCCAACTCCCCATCTCACACCTGGTCCCTCACTCACCCCCCACCTCACACTTGTCCAAGGAGGCCTCTGTGGTGTGTACCCCATCATCCCGCTCTGCTCAGCCCTCCCTGCCCAGGCCCATCTGCTCCCATGGGCCTCCGGAGACCCCACATCCCTGAGTTCACAGCCTGCCATACTGCCCGTCACCCCAAGAGCCCAGGGGTTCCCAGACTGGATGCAGGCGACAGTGGCAGAAAAGCAGAGCCACAGGCTCTGGGCTCACCTTGAGCCAGTTGTGCGATCTCTTGGCAATCTCGTAGGTGGCGTTGACGTCCAAGGTCTTCACCATCAGCCCCTCACAGGAGTCTGCAGGGAGAGGTGGCGTGGCGGCCAAGGCTGCACCCCATACCGCCCCGGGAGCCTGTCTGTTCATCCGTGTGTGTATCTGCGCAGCTGCGGCTCTCACCTCTCACCGACTGCTCCAGGAACTCGGCAATCTGCTCTGTGTCCTTGGTGTCCAGGGACGTGGCGAAGACAAACTCACCCTCTGTCTCCACGAAGTTCTCACGGAGCAGCTGCCGGCGCCGGGACAGGGGCTCCCGGACAAGGGACTTGGGGGGGGGGGAGGGGGCAGGTTAGGGGCAGGGCCAAGACAGGCTGCACAGAATGGGCAGGAGACAACAGGGCTGGCCCTCGCCCCTCCCCACAGCCCCGCATTCACCTCTCCATTGAGGTAGATGAGGTCAAAGGCGTACAGGCACACCTGAACCCGGATCTCTGCCGCGTCCGCCTCCTGAGAGGGACTGGTGTGAGGGCCGCCCCGGCCTGCAATCACGGTGTTCCCCAGCCAACCCCACCTTGGCCCTCTGCAGACACTGGTGCCCCCCCACCCCATCCCCATGGTGGTGGTGATAGTGCAAGTATGATTGGGGACAGGGCTGCTGGGACACAGGCCAGCTCCTGACACACAGAATTCTGATAACAAAGCAGAAAGGAAGGGCTCTGTCCCTTCCTGCTGGGGGAGCTGGAGCTGAAATGCAGAGTGCGTGTGTGCACGCGCACTTGCGCGCGTTTGTGTCTCGTGGGGGGCACTGCACCCATATCGAGAGTCCAGAGTTCTGACCAGAAGGGCCCCTGATGGCTGGGAACAGCAGGGGACACGTGGGGGCAGAGGGATGGGGGTTGGGGGTGTGTGGAGGTGCTACCTTGCGCTTGCGGGTGGTGAGCACTTGGAATGGCTGGATCTGCTTCTTTTCCCGGTCCCACGCCACAGCTTCAGTGTCCAGGATAAAAGATGTGACTGAGGGAAGTTTGATCTGAAAGAAGGGGCAAACTAGCACCATAAGGCAGGGAGGCTGGCACCATCAGACAGGGAGGCTGCCATCAAACAGGGAGGCCAGCGCCATCAGACAGGGAGGCTGGCACCATCAGACAGGGAGGCCGGCACCATTAGACAGGGATGCTGGCACCACCCAACAGGGAGGCTGCCATCAGACAGGGCGAGACAGCACCAGCCTCAGACACTCTCACATCCCTCTCTGACCCCATGGCGGGAAGCAGGTGACCCTCTCAGAGCACTTCCTCTTTCAACTCCACCCGGAGCTCTGGTTTCCCCACCCTCCCGTCCCATCTTGGGAACCTGCCTGGCCCTGCTGCGCCCACCTCTCCCCCTCTTCCCAGCTCTGCACTGCCCCCCCATTGTTTGCAGCCTCACAGATGCTGGGGTGCTACTCCTGGTGAACCCCGAATCAGAGTTACACAACCTTTCTCCAACCGTGCCCAGTTCCCAATGCTGGGCCAGCTGCTCCTGCCCCCACCCACCCTCACTCCCCCTGGCCCTTCACGGGCACCCTCTGTCTCCCAGGACAGGTGCCTGTTTCCCTGGGAAATATCCCCGCAGCCTCCTCTGGGCTACACATACAGGAATCCCGTAGCTGCCCGAGAGTCCAAGGGGGTGCTGGGTCCCTCCCTTTCTCAACTCCGCACAGGGCCAGGACTTGGCGGGTTGCAGTGGCCTCGGGACACTCGTGATGACCCCAGGCCTGGAGGGTCAGCCTAGGCTCATTTCCTTAGGGAAGGGGACAGAACTGGTCTTCTCAGCCAGTCTGTCTCAAGGTGTGACAGTCACCTGGGGCTACTGGGGGCCGAGGGCAGTCCTGAAACACAGGGAGGAGAGGAACGAGCTGGGAGGGAGACGGCAGAGTCGCACAGGAAGGGGTGCCCAGCCCCAGGGCTGAGGAAAAGTCACTGGCTGCGAGTCCTGTTCCCTGCACCCAAGGCTCCCAGCGCCGTGGAATCCCCACCCCACAGCCCAGCAGGTGCCCACCTTGGGGATTCGGCTGATGATGTCGGGGTACTTTCCAGTATTGTCCTCCTGATTCCGGCTGAAGATCTTGACCTCCCCACCCTCCAGAACATGGATCTGCAGGGGGCCAGGGAAATGAATCAGCCCGGGGACCCCGCTGCTCTCCTGACCCCACCTCACTGAGAAAGCTTCAGGAACCTCTGGACAGAGACCACACCCCTTAGCGGTCAGCCTGGCTGAAGCAGCATCTGCCCCGCCAGCCCCACTAAATCCAGGCAGAAGCTAAGTCGAGATGACCCACAGCCCAGTGGTCCATCCATTTGTCTGTCCACCTGATCCATCTGTCCATCCATCCCTACACTCTCTACCCACCCATTTCACCTGTTGTCCCTCTGTCTGTCCTTGCACCATCTGTCCACTCAGTTCACCTGTTCATTCGTCTGTCCCTGGGTCATCTGCCCATCTAGTCCATCTGTCAGTCCACCTGTCGGTCCCTGCACCCTCTGCCCACTGGTTCATCTGCCCACCCGGTTCATCTGATGGTCCATCCATACCTGCGCCCTCTGTCCATCATACTTGTACTCGCAGGTGAAAGCTGCCTCCTCAAAGCGCTTCAGGACCTCACTGACACCTCGAGTGGGGTGAGCCAGCATGGGCTTCAGGGGTGTTCCTGGAGCAGGGACACGGAAGGAACACACATGAGAGGGGCCAGGGCATCTGGGCATGGCCGCCCACGTCAGGGACGGCTGGGTACACGGTCCTACACTCATTCTCAGAATCACCTCACAGAGCACTTCTTGGGTCCCCACACAACACCCCCAGCCTCCCACTCAGCGAGACCTGGGGTTAGACTGCCTTGGTCTCCGGGACCTCCTGGGACTCCTCCCTGCTCCCCAGCAGCTGGGCAAGGGGGTTCCTGGGGCACAGCCCCCACCCACCACTCCCTCCCTCTGAACTCAGGCACAAGCAAGCAAGTCCACCCGCCCTGAACTTCTGGCTCTTCCTGCACCAGGAGCCCCCCAGGAGCTACACAGGCTGCAGGGAAGGGAAGCAGCTCTGCACCCTAGCAGCAGGTCCTGAAGGGTGACCCCTCCCCCACCTCCACCCCGTCCCCACCTCTGTCCCGATAGGGGTGTAGGCGGAGGAAGCCATACCTGGGCTCAGCCTGCAGTGCTCTGGGAGCTGCTCCAGGCCGTGCTCCAGCAGCACCGGGACGATACGGTCCAGGTCGGGCACCTCGCTGCAGGGTCAGGAAGAGGTCATGTCGTCCCCAAGTGCCACCCCCAGGGACAAGGCTCAACCTGCCGCTCCAGTTGCTCTTTCTGGGCTCACCTGGCATCTCCCCTCCTCTGGGAGACCCTGGGAGACCCCGCAAGGCAAGCCCCGGGCCTTGCTGCCAATCAGCCCCAGCACAATGCAGGGGGTCTACACCCAAACTGGGCAGCTGAGCCCCACACCTGCTTGTGGCTCCTGCTCCCTGCCCCCAATGTGCCCCAGCATGTGCTGAGGACTCGCCCCACTGAAGGTCTGTTAGCAAGTAAGTCCCAGGCTGCACGGTGAGCGTGGGAAACAGCCTGGTGGCTGCCCCTGGCCCCTGCTCTTTGCCCCGGTTATGAAGTGCCAAGGCCGAGCTGCCCCTGCTCTCAAAAGTACCCTTGAAGATGAAGTCATGAAATTTATATACAAGTGTTACTACATGGAAAGTATCATGCTAAGTGAAATGAGTCAGAAAGAGAGGGATAGACATAGAAAGATTACATTCATCTGGGGCACATGAAGTAACAAAACAGAAGACTAACACCCAAGAATAACTGAGATAAGTACCAGGAGGATTACTCTATGGCTTTGAGGACAGCCGCACAGGCTAGGGGAAAAGGCATCTCAGATAGAGAAGGGAGCACCAAATAAAGGGTGTTGGGAGGTTCCTCTCAGGATGGGAAATGAGTCATAAGAGTAGACTATAGTTCGAACAAGACTGCCACTCAGTGTCTCTTTTGCAAACCACAGCACTCAAAAGGAGAGAGATAACAAAAGGGAATGCCCTGCCACAGTGGTAGGGTGGGATGGGGGGAAGGGGGGTGGAAGGGATACTGGGACTGGTGGTGGTGGAGAATGGGCACTGGTGGAGGGACGGGTATTCGATCATTGTATAACTGAAACCCAAGCACAAAAATCTGTAAGTCTCCAACTGTACCTCATGGTGTTTCACTAATAAAAATTTAAGGGAAAAAAAAAGTGACACAGTAACAGTGTTAGAAGGTTTTGGGCACTTTGGTGGTGGTAAAGGTATATAGTAAATATGTATACCCTAATATAAATGTTAACACTTTTTGAACAACGTTACTTAAACTTTAAGATATCATACAAAATTAACTGGTTAATAAAAATAAGTTAAGGGGGGAAAAAAAGGACCCTTGAAGCTGTCATCCCACTCAGCAGAGACTCCCTAGGCATCTCCAAGCCACCGGCTCTGTGCCTCTCCCCATGATGCCCAGAGCCACCCATCACTCCAGGCGCTCGCCAGGCTGCCCCACACCCCTCCAGGTCTCCTTCCCCAGGACTTCTGGAGGGAAGGGAGGCGCTGCCAGTAGCGGCACGGGCAGAGTTTGGTATCTGCCACCTTCCCCATGCCCAGCCCTGATGTGCCCCCATTTCCACCCCAGGAGGGCCACTGACATGGTCAGCTATTGGTCCTGTCCCCCATCACCTGTGGATGCCACACCCTGCCCACTTCTGTAGGCCCACCCATTCCCACTGCCCAACGCTCCACACATGCACGCGTATATGTACACACATGCACATACACGCACACACACTCAAGCATATACACACATGCGGCCACACAAAATCACAGATGAATATACACACACATACACACACACACACACAGAGGCGGGCACACACATACATGCACCCGGATGCCCTCCACCTGTCCCTTGGAACTCACCAGAAGGTCTGCTTCAGGGTCATGGCCTGCTCCTCCAGCCACATCTTTCTAGCTTCTGTGGTCTTGCCCTTCCCAGCATCCACCACAGAGGGGGGTGTCTCTAAGACAAGACCACCAGGAGCAGCCTTGGGGTGGGCCCATGCTCCTCAGCCACCGCAAGAGCACTGCATGGCGATCTAGAGTGTGTGTGTGTGTGGGGGGGGGGGGGGGGGGGGCGGGAACACTGTCCTTGGGAGAGGCCCAGAGCAGCAGCAGCAGGAAGCAGTTGGGAGGGTGGAGGGTGCTCACCTTGTCCTGGGGGTGTGAGGCTCACGGCCTGGGCGAGAGCCGCCAGCACCGACTGCTCGGCCAGCCCCAGGCGCAGCCGCCCGCTCAGGGCTCTGGGGAGAGAGGGGGCAGGCATGTTCCCAAGGTCCACCTCCACACCTCGCTCCTGCCTCCCGCCACAACTGATTGAGCTTGGGCCCCACTACAGATGGTTCTGGCACAGAGACGCCCACAGGAATGGGACTCAGCGGGGCAGTGGGGACATGGGCTTCCTCCCAAGACAGACTGGGGGCCTCCTGCCACCCTGCCTGCATCTCAGCCACCCCCAAGAGTGGTATGGGACGGGGAGGGCCAGAGCAGGGCCTGCAGCCCCAGGAAGAGGCACCGGGCTTCACCTGCCTGCACCCCCATCCCCCAAAGCTGGGTGAGCCTTCAAACAGCCCCCAAGGGTCCACAAGTAACTCCCACACATCACAGGCCGCGGCACCCACCCCTTGGCTCCCCCACGGGCCCAGAACCCCTCTCCAAGTATATTCTCTTGAAGTCCAGGGTCCCCTGACGCATCCCTCCCCGAGCCTACCTGGCAATGTAGCGGGCTTCAGAGTGGCGGCAGGCAACGAACAGGCCTTTAATGACTTCCATCTTCTTCGTGGTGGACTGCGGAGGGGGTGGAGAGGTGCCGTTATGGCCTACAGGAGAGGGGGACCCACCTGCTGCCCCAGGCCAAAAGGGTTCCGCCCTGCACAGTGGACCCAGTAGCCAGCTTGTCACCCAGCGGATCCCGGGTACCTGGAGAGGTGTGGGGGCGCCAGGCACCACTCACCGCAGTGCCAGAGAGCCGGGCGATGTCCTGAAACTTGGCGAATACCCCAGAGGCCGAGAGGGGTGGTGGCGGCAGCACAAGGCGCTGCGTACTACGGCTGCTCTCAGCCACCAGCCCCACATCCCCCTTCTCGGTGGCCTCGGCCCTCACTGACTCCAGCTGCCGCCCTGGGGAGGGGAGAACAGCTGAGAAAAGCAGCCATCTCTCCTGTCCCGTTCCCCAGCGGAGTGAGAGGGCCCAGCATGGAAACCAGCTGCCCCCCGCCCCCGCCCCCCCGCCCCACTCCGCCCAAGGGCTTCTCTGCTCTGCAGAGCCCATCAGAGCCATAGGGCTGGGGCTGGACAGGGCAGGGGACTGTGCCCGTCTTCCATGCAGAGATGGCTGACCAGCAAATGCAGGGGAGGGATGGAGGCCAAGCACCTCAGGTCACCCCAGGGCACGCCCTCACTCGGCCACATGCCGGAAGCCCAGGGCCTGCCTCCTGCACCCTCACCTGTAGCCTGGGCCACCGCCTTGAGGAGGACGCCGTCCCCCACGCCCAGCTCCAGGCCCTGCTGTGGCGGCCCGAGACGGTTGAGGCTGAGGTAGAGGATGGGCAGGAGATCTGGAGGCGACAGGGCCACCACGGAGCGCAGCAGGTTACTCAGTGTCTCCACCATCCGAAGTCTGGGAGGGGGAGCTGCACGTCAGGCTCAGGGTGATGAGCCAAGGCCCCAAAGCCCGCCTAACGCCTGGACAAAGTGGCCTGGATGAAAAGCAAAGATCTGTCCCAAGCCCCGGGAGGGCTCCAGGACTCGGGAGTCCCTGCACTTGCCATCAGAGTCACCTCAGAGTCAATCTGAGAGCTGCCCATCCCGCCCGCACCCTGCAGCCCCCCATGGCTTTCCCCATCACCGGAACATGCAGGATGGAAAGCAGCAGCGGGGAGTTGACCTGGCTGGGGCACCTGACACAAAGGGATCGTGGGGCAGGGCCGGGGCAAAGAGCCCCAGGTGCCCCAAGAACACAGGGCCTCCATCCGGGCAGGTCCAGCCAGGGAAGGAGCTGAGCGCTCTCCAGCAAGAACCACAGCAAACCGGGGACACCGGGCTCCCGTTGGCTCCCCGAAGCCAGGCTGAGCCCCAGGACATGGCAGGAACGTGGGCAGGACCTTTCAGCAGAGGCCCCAGGGAGCAGGGGGAAGAGCCCCCAGCTCAACACAGCCCCAGCCCAGACGAGACGCGCGGCAGTTACCGAGCAGAAGCCTCCTCAATCTTCTCAAAGGTGCGGGCCACTGCCAGGTAAGGAACCCTGGTGACGGAGAACCGGGGAAGACGAGGCGCCAGTCACCCTGGCCTCCCAGGCACACTCAGAGCCACTGCAGCCCCCTCCCCGCTGCCAGCTGTGTCCCCAACATGGGGGGAGGGGGGAACCCCACTGCAGGCCAGGGCCCAGCTCACTTCTGCCCAGGCCTCCAGCAGGCATCATCCACGGGGTGGTAGCCGCCCTTGGCTGGGTTGTAGCAAGCTGGCTCCGGAGGTCTGTGGGCCAAAAGGGCAGCACAAGTGGGTGGACGCCCGTGGAGGGATGCCAAGCCCACAGGTCAGATGAGAACCTACTCAGGGCACAGGCGAACCGGAGACACACTCCAGAGGGAGGGAATGAGCCCTCCCTCATGAGCATCCCCTCAGTCTGAGCTGTCTGGGGATGAGGAGTCAAAACGGGGCGGGGGGGGGGGGGGTGTTATGAAGGGGCGGGTACTGGTAGGAGGCCCTGGGCACAGACCCAGGGGAGGTGGCAGTGGGGAGGGGGAAAGACACTTGGCGCCCACACCCCACAGCAGGCACATCCCCACCCTCAGGACCCCCGACTCACCCCCTCGCCCCTTCCTTTCCTGGCGTCTCCACTGCCTCTTCTTTCACTTCCTTTTTGACTGTCGGTTTCCGGGGGGCTGGGGGTGAAAGAAGGGAATCTGCCTCTGAGAACCCGGCGCACGAGATCAGTGCCCCAGCAGCCCCCACACTGGTCCCAGGACTTGGGGTGCGGGCGAGGGTGGTGGCAGGAAAGCCCAGAGGACACACTCACCAAAAAAGCTGCTCAGAGTCTTGGGAGCTTTGGGGAGTGGCAGGGTATGGGTGTCCTCCTGGGGCTCCTGCTTCCCGGCCACCGCAGGCGCTGTGGCTCTGGGGGTCGGGGACTCGGCTTCTAAATGAGAGCAGGGCAGGCACCATTGGAACCTGGACGCGAGCAGCGGGCTGGGACCAACATCTGACCAGAGGCCCCACTGGGACAGGCTGAAAACATGCCACTGGGAGGGGGAGACACCTCCACTCGGGGGTGGCAGGAGCTCGGCTCCATGTCCGAGCCTGAGCACAGCCCCGAGGGTCGTGCTCCAACACAGGGACATGGGCTGACGTGACCCTCCACGGTTCACGGATGCCCATCCAGCTTCCCTGGGAGCTCCGAGGGCTCTGCCCCCTTGCTTGCCTGACAAACATGAAATCAAGAGGCCAGAGGCAGCACGGCAGTGAGGGCTCCAGCCTTGTGTGTTCCCCGCACCCCGGGTCCCCACAACACCACACCCTCAATCCAAAGGCCGAGAAATCATTCGCGGGGCTCCTGCATCTCTTAAGCACTGCTTGGGGTGCTCAAGAAAACAAATAAATCCCAGGACCCCGCCCCCGCCTTCTAGCCCACGTCACCGTTCCCCAGACACGGGAGGGAAGTCAGAGACAGGGCAGCAGGCGGATCGACTCACCAGGGCACGGCAAGGGTTGGGCCCCCTCCTTCTCCGCCTCAGCGTGGAGGTGGCTCTGCCTCGGGGACTCTGCTTCTAGAGACAGAGAAGTCAGACACAGTCACTGACCCCAGGTCACTCCACTCCCAACACAGCCCTGTTCATTCCCCGCATCCCCCCATCCCTCCTCATGCCAGCTGGACACTGGACCAGCCCTAAATGAAGCAGGGACCTCCAGGGATGCCCCCACCCCACACCACCACCACCACCCCGTGGCTGGTCTGGGCACTGGCTCTGCAGACCCACAGGCCCGCCTTGAACTACTCTGGGATAATCCTCCACCACCAAACTGGAGTGTCCACATGCACAGCGACTTGTTACAGACAGAAGCAGAAACCAGATGAACCAGATGAACTGGTGGGGGGGGGGGGGGGGGGTTGGGGGTGGCAGGTGCGGAAGAGGCCAAACCCCCAAGCACACACACACACACACACACAGGCCAAAGCCACACAACTGCCCGGGAAGCGAGTCAGGGACTGGACGTGGAGATGGCCCTCACTCAAACCTGCCCTGAGGAAGCGGGCCTTTCCTGAAGCCACCACCAAAGGTGCCAAGGCCACAGTTACAAGCCAGACCATCAAGGACCACCGTGTTGTTTTGCCCCAGACACCCAAAGGCGGAGACACAAGAAGGGACATTTCCCAGGGAAGTGTGACATCTGCTGGACACTGGAGGAACTCATGCTCAGGGTTTGGGAGCAGGGATGAGGTGCCCTGGTGTCTTGACTAGATCTGAGTCCAGGTTACCACAGTGACGTGAGCAGAGAACACCAGCCCGGAACAGGAAATGGGGGGCAGTGGGGTGCAGGGGAAATCTCTCAAATGATTCCAGCTCCTGAGAGACCTGGGATGATTTAAGAATGACCCCAGAACACAATTTTCCTGGGACCGGGAACATAATAAGCTCACAGGACTGGCTGGAGTTTAATCCCTACCCACCCAGTCCACTCAGCACCGCTGGAAGTGGCAGTGACCTTGGAGCACAGCTAGAGGCTCTTGGGTCCCGGGCCTGGATGCACACTGGCTCCTTGGACACCCGCGCTATTGTCACACCGTGATTAGAGAGCCAAGAAGCACTGGTAGGAGTGCCACAGCGAAGTGACACAGACACTCAGGGTACCGAGAAGGTTCCAGAACCCTGCTATCTGATACAACTAACAAGAAGGAATCACCAGGGTGAAGTGTTCTCCAGAACCTAAAAACAAAAACTGGAAATGGGAATGTGGCCGAGGAATTCTCACAGGATAAGAGAGTCCCATGTTTTTAAGCCAGACTCAGGCACTGGCATGAGGTGAAGGGCTCTGGTGAAGTAGCTGACAATCCTGCACAAAGATCTGACCCCATCCTCAGGGAGCACCCCCACCCATCCAGGGCCTTACCTGCTTTCTCGCTCCGCTTCCTCTTGGCCACTCCAGGTCCCTCCTCACCCTGTTCTTCCAGGACATCCTGAACTGTGCGTTTTGGAAGCTGCTTCCGAGCTGGAAAAAGCAAAGTGCCCAGGGTGACAGTCGGCCTGCCCAGCAAGTGGGGGTGGGGGGACCTGGGCCTCCACCACACACCAGTCATGCCTTCCGTTAGAGTGTCCCTTTGCTCCAAGGCCCAGCTGGCCCACCTCTGCAGATAGACCCAAAGCCTGGAAGTCAGCAGGAGACTCGACCCAGGCCCAGGTCCCCTCTGCATCCCCAGGCTAAGTATCTCTGGATCCTCTAAAGCCCCAAAGCAGCAGAGAATCACCAGGCCCCCGGAGCAGCCAATGACTGCAAACCACTGTCCCCACTCTCCTGCGCACAGGCCCCCTTCAGAAAGGGGCAACAGGGTCTCAGAAGTCTCATCTGGGTTTGTGTGCAACGGTTTACCCACGGGAGCACCGATATGACCCCACATCCGTCAAGCTGGGCTAGTCTGCAATAGGCAAACCCCGCCTGGCTCCCGAGCTGCACCATAAGGAAGCAAACAATGTGGCGTGCAAGCCCGTGCCCATCCCACTGCCAGGTTTGGCTTCCCCAGCCTCAAGTGGGGCCCCCCGTTTCCGCACCTCCTGGGACGAAACCTTCCCAGGACACCTTAGGCTGGCCTTCCAAAAGATCTCCAGTCTCAAACTCACTGCCTCCACTCTGCGCTGCAAACACCCACAGGCTGGGTGGGCCCTCCACAGCACCCAAAGGCCTTCTTGGCCCCTTTCCCCCAGGACCCAGAACCTCCTCCTTCCCCTTGGCTCCCTCTGCTCATCTTGCAAGGCACTATGTGGTCAGAGTCATACCCGTGCCTGGCTCCTTCCGTCACAGCACAGAATCCCAGGGACAGCCACCATGATGGAGAGCAGCCGCCGGGCCAGTAGACAGCACCCATCCCACCCGCGTCTGCATGTCTCCCTGTACTGAGCCCAGTGTGTCCGTGTATCTACGTTGCTATGCTGAGCCCCATGTGTCTGTGTATCCGTGTGTGTGTCTTGCTATGCTGAGCCCGTGTGTCTGTGTGCGTGTGCATGTACGTGTGCGCGCGCGCGCACGCATGTGTGTGTGTGTGTGTGTCTGAGTGTGTGTTTCGCTATGCTAAGCCTGGTCAAGGCGTCTCCACATCTAGATGGAGCAGGATCCTCACTCTTGTCACTGGTGTTGCTGAGAGCCACCAAGTCTCAGGCAGAAACAGTCATCTGCTCAAGGGTGGCGGACATGGATCTGCCGGGTGGTCAAGTGTGAAGAATGGACAGCGGGCAGGGCAGCCCCAGCTCTTGCCTGTGCGACGCTTGGGGATCCCTGATGGAGAGATGTCCATGGGAGACGAACTGGGCGGAGCAGGGCTGCTGGGCGCCGCAGGGTCAGGACTGGGTGGGGAGGCCTGCGGAGAGATGTCCACGGGAGACAGGCTGGGCAGAGCAGGGCTGCTGGGCGCCACGGGGTCAGGACTGGGTGGGGAGGCCTGCGGAGAGCGAGGGCCAGGAGTTCTGGTGTTAGGGAAGGTGGGTCGGTCCACCTGCCCACCCAGCCCAGTGAGACCCAACCACCCTCAGAGCCCAGCCGCCTCTCCACCCCTGCCTGGGCCTCAGTCTCTCACCACCCTTCTGTGGGGTTCTGGACTCAGACCCTTCCCACTCCAGACACCCATAGTTTTTCCCTCATGTGAGCGACTCCTCAGATTTTTCTAAACTGGGCATGAGATGTGCAGAGACCACACTTCCTAGCCCTCTGCAGCCAGGTGTGGGCGTGGCCCTCAGTTCTGAAGTGACAGGAGGGACACCCCAGGTGATCTCCAGGGCCCAATGCCACTTCAGGGGGCAAAGTAGCAGCAGAGAGGCTGAGAGAAGCAGCACGGGGCCGCCAGCTTGGAGAACACAGACAAGGGGAGAGGCAGGACAGACGTTCCCTCCTGCCCATAAGGAGTGGATAGACTGGCCTTGCCATGGTTCTGCCTCCTGACCACCTAAGTCCAGGGTGAAGCACCAAGGCAGTGAAGAATAAACTAATACAAGAGTCAGAGAAGGTCTCATGAGGTAGAACCATGAAGAAAAGGAGGGTCAGCAAGTGCTCGGGGTGAGAGGCCAGTTAGAGGGCACAGGGACTGGGCAGTGAAGCCCAGAGTTCTGCCAGGGAGGTAGTACCAAGGGGAGGTCACTGGTCCTGCATACAGCAGATCCCGGCTCAAATTCCCGGCACTGCATAAGGGTCCCCAAGTCCCACAAGTGACCTGCGTGCAGAACCAGAATCAGCCCTGAGCACCAGGCCTGGACCCCAAACCAAACCAACAAGCGGCTGGGAAGAGTCAGGGGTGGGAGAGAGAGCAGGGCTCCATCTGTCCATCCATCCAGAACAGCTCAGCCTGAGCTGCAACCACTTGGGGAAGCTGGAGCCCTAGCAGTGACATGCACTTGGGCTTTCCGAGGCGACCAGACATCGAGGGCATGGCCGGGATGTCAGAAGACAAGATGCCCCAGGGGTCATTCACCAGGGTGCAGAGGGCTCTGGAGCACTGGCAAGCATCTCCTGCTGCGCAGGCACAGGAGGCCAGGCTGCCCCTGCTTGCCCCACACTGACTGGCCACCAGCCACAAGCCCCCTCCCCAGGGCACAGCTCCAGCAGCTCGAGGCCACTCCCAGCTGGTGAGGACCACAGTTTCTCACAGTTTGGCACTGCCAGCTGTGGTCCAAAAGACAAGGAGAGCAGGCTGTTGGGGACCTACCTGGCCTCTGGGGGGTGTGAGGGTTTCATCTTCCTCCTCCCCTTCACTGCCCAGCATTCGAGCCACCTTCCTCCCGGGTCTCTTCACTGGCGAATCATCCTCGGGCAATGCTCCATTGCGTTCCTTCAATGCCCTGCTATGGGGGGGGAAGCAATGGGCAGTGGGTGGTGCTGCCCGCAACCCACCAGCCCCTTTGCTGCGTTTCACTCCCTTCCTTTCATCCGTTCCAGTCACCACCCCCAACCACCCCACCACTCTGCAGTGTTCCCCCCGTAGACTGGGTGACATTGGCAGCAGAGGCTGATGTCTTCCAAACCACAAAAGTTCCCTTAGCCACCAGGCGGGAACTATACCTCCCAGCTGCCCCACGGGGTGGGACAGAGAAAGGAAGGCAGGTCGCTGGACCTCGCAAGACACATCTGCCTCCCCTACTAGAGAGACAGCACAGCGGTAGGGCGTTCGCCTTACAAGCGGCCAACATGGCCAACCCGAGTTCGATTCCTCTGCCCCTCTCGGAGAGCCCGGCAAGCTACCGAGAGTATTCGATATGCCAGACACAGTAACAACAAAGTCTCCAATGGAGACGTTACTGGGCCCACTCGAGCAAATCGACGATCAACGGGAGGGCCTTTACCTTTACCTTTACTAGAGAGAACAGCGCCGTTTACTTGAACAAACTCAGGGCCACTTAGGTCAGCAGCAAGAAAGCACGCTGCTCTCTCGAGCACCCATGCTCTGAGGCACACCCCACTAGGACTGTGCCCTGAGTGCAGAGCCCTCAGGAGGAAGCCCTGGGCACTGCCAGCTGTGGTCCAAAAGCTGAGAGAAACTGAGTGTGGCACTGACGAGGGATTATGTCCGGCACATTCCCACTGCCTGACATATGAAACTGGCCAGAATGACAGTCCCAGAGGCCGAAGCAACAGTGTAGTAGCTCAAGCACTTGCTTTGCATGTGGACAACCCAGGTTCAACTCCCCGCATCCCATACGGTGCCCCTGAGCCCACCCGGAGTGATCACTAAGTGCAGAGTCAGGAGGAAGCCTAGAGTACTGCCCAGTGTGCACCCCCCACCCAAAAATAAGTAACAATCCCTGTTACCCAACCCTTCGTCATTCAACAAACCTCCACTGGGAACCCACTAAGTAGTACACCTAGAAAGGTTAGGGATGGGCCTAACCCGGTACTGTGGGCCTGTAGGCACGTGTCTCCCGGAAGGCCAGGCTGGCACTGAGCTTCAGTGAGTCCCACCTACCACTCTACAGGCAGGGCCAGCCAAGCCTGAGGCTGGGAGACCAGGGCCTTCTGAGGATATCTCTGCCGCATTCAGAGCTGGGGTGCTCATCCCTGGAGCCCAGTGTTGCCCTCAGCCCATGACCTACTTGGACGGGGACTCTGTCTCTCGGGAGACGTCCTTCTCGGGCTTCTTCACTTTACCCTCTTTCTGGGGCTGGAAAAACGACCTGGAGAACAGACGGGGAGTAATGCAAGGAATAGCGGCACCGTGAACAGCAGCCCAAACCCCACGCCACAGCTCCCAATGCCCCTTCCCATCTTGGTCTGTAACAGGGTCTCAAGCAGCGGCTGTTGGTCAACCGAGGAACCTGAGAAGCTGCAGTGAGGCAGCCACACTTGGCTTGTCCTTCCAGCTCCGATTTTCATTCCAGAGTGAAATGAGTCCCCACAGCATGCCAGGGCCAGTCGGCTGTGGTCCCGACACGGAAAAAAAACCCAATCCCAGAGCCGACACTAGCCGGAGAGACAAATGACATAAGATGCCAGCAGTCATTCCTGCCCGAGAAACCATGAAGCAAGGAGCCACTGGGTGTCCGGAGCCCAGGGAGACTCGGGAGCCGGTCCCGAGCATGTGGGCAGAGGGAAGCGGGTGGGGGCACCACTGTAGAGGTCCTAGGGGTGTGGAGCATCCCATCATGCCACAAGGGAGGAGGGCACCCCGCCTCGGTGTCTATCACCCCAGACTAATCCCATCCACCGGACCAGACTGGACCATCAGCATCCTGAAAAAAGGAAGTCTAAAATAAGCCACAGCGGAGGGACACAGCACAGCACAGTGCTCAGAACTGGATCCCACCCAGCACCCAGCAGGGTTTGGGGTGGGGGTGGGGGGATGGTAGGGGAGAAGCAGGGAAGACACCCCACAAAGGAGCCCGCTCATGGGATGCGCTGACGTCCTGGTCAGGACAAACACCTCACTTCTCCACGCTGTTCAACTCCCTTCCAAAGACAAACTGGAGGCAGGGAGAGATTGGGGGTTAGTGGGGGGTCACGGGTCCTTACATGATACTCCGCTGCATGATGGCGGTGGGGTTCTCCCGCTTCTCTCCTTGCCTGCTGCCTGTTCCTGCGACAGAAATCAAACCCCTTGTGAGGAGACCCACTGGGCTGGGGCAGGCCGCAAGACATAACCCTCAGGGCCAGGGCAACAGCCTTGAATTCGGCTAAACCTGGGTTTGATCCCCCGCAGCCCATAAGGTCCCCTGAGCACCAGCGGGCATGCTTCCAGAGCTGGGAGACCTGAGCACTGCCAGGGGTGGCTCAAAATCCAAAGAAACAAAATTAAAGAAATCGAGCATAAACCTCCTCCTCCCAGAGAACTACGGACCCGAAACCAGGCCGTGGCCGCGGAGACCTGCAGCAGAGTTCCAACGGGACCCCACCCTCTGGGCCTTCACCTGGGCCCAGACCCCAGCTCTGCCCACTCCTGCCCACGCCCCCGTGCACTGCCGCCCCGCCCCTTATTCAAATTCCCCGAAGCCCCCCGCCTCCGCCAGCCAGCCAGCAGCCAGCATAGCCCCCCTGGGCATCCCCCAAGCCCTCTCGAGGGCCCGTTTTCCTCAGCCTCCGGCGGACGCTCCCCACCCCCCCCCCCGCGCTCGGCTCCGCCCCGCCGCTCCCCGCGAAGCTCCGAGGGTGCGAGTCGCGCACCGCCCTCCCCTCAGCGGCGCCCGCTCACCCCGTGCCGGCCCTGCGCGCCGCTGTCCAGGCATCGCCCGAGAGCCGCTGGGTGCCGCGGCCGCCGTCGCAGTTTCCCGCCACCGACTTCGCGCGCAGACGTCGGCGGGAGGGGGCGGGACCTCGCGGGGGCGGGCCGGTGACGCCGCGAAGCCGCGGCCGCGCGGGGCACTCTGGGAGTTGGAGTCCGAGCGGGACGCGAGGGCGGCTGGGCAGCGGGCTGCACCCTCCCGCGGAGCACGCCGGGAAACGGCCCGCGCTCTCCTTCGCTGGGCCGGAGCGGCCGCGGCGGCGGCCTCGGGGGGCGGGGCGGGGGAAGCGGCTGCGGCGCGAGGCACGGCGGGAAGAGAGGCGGGAGGCCGCGCGGGGCATCCCGGGAGCAAGGGCCGGGTCGGGCCGCGGCGCGGGGCATTGTGGGAGGTGGACGCCGCTCCGGGGCGGGTAGGTGAGTGGGGAGGGGCGGGAAGGGTGCACATCTGGGGGAGGGGAGAGGCAACAGCTGGCTGGGACGGCGGCGATGGGAGGGGCTGCGGCGGGCGGGGCCGAGAGGGGTTGGGGATCTGGGAGGGGGCTGGGAGGGGCTGCACGAGGCCGGGAAGGCGTAGCAGGACGTGGGGGTGCCGGTGGGGTAGCGAGGCCCATTCGAGAACCAGGGGGGCATGACGAGGCCGAGTACGCACATCTGGGGACGATGGTGACTAGCTAGGAAGAGGCTGCCGCGGCACCTGGGGGTACAGGCCGGCAGGAGGGGTTGTTAGATTATTTGGTGATACTTGTGAAAACTGGCCACTAGGATGCACACCTGTAGGCAAAGGGTTGGCGCGGGGCGAGAAGAGCAGCCCCGGGTACTGGGGCGCCTCTGGGAAGCAGGGGCCGCAGCATGGCTGGGGTCGCACCTGGGGGCAGGGCAGCCGCTGTAGGCTGCAGACACATCTGGGGGGGGAAGTTAGCCACAGGTGGCGAAGGCTGTGGTGGGGGACAGGGCATTCCTGATGGGTTCCAGGCCGGAGATGTCAGGAAGTGAAACCTTTTGAGGAGGGGGCTCTCCTGGCTGGTACGAGCTGAAGCCCATGAAGGAGGCAGCGGGACGGGGAGGAGGGCCGGGCTGGGAGTAGGGAACACACATCCGAGCTCGAGTTCACGGCTGAGTTAAGGGTAATACTGGGGAGCCACACCCCATGGGGCTGGGGAGACCTTGGGGCGCCAGGGATCCAACCCAGAGTTTGGCACGTGCCCGCATGTGTTCCACGGCTTGAGCTACATCCCGAAAGTTAGGGCCATATTTGGAGTATATGGGGGGGGGGAGGGCGGTGTCCCCACCACCCCAGGGCTTACCTGGCATTGGCGGGGAGCAGAATTGGAATGAGAGGTCAGGATGGTGAGCTCCAGCGAATAACCAGGAGCTGAGAAGAGCCCCAAGATGTGGTTCCTACAGTGTGTCCCGCGGGATCCTCGCAGGAGAGCGGTGCCCAGCAGCCGAGAGACAGGGGCAGAGCTGTGACTTGGGGGGGTCGGGGGACACGTCAGCTATGGACAAGCCCCCTTCCCTCTCCCTCCCAGGCGCCCCAGGATGGAGCCGCCGGAGCCCCCGGCCTGCACGGTGGCGGGGCAGGAGGAGCAGGAGCTTCGGGAGCGGGCCTTCTTCTCGTGGGCCGAGTTCAGCCGCTTCTTCGACGCCTGGTGCCAGCAGCGCCTGGCGCTCTTCTTCGTCAAGAGCTCCATGCACCTGGCTCGCTGCCGCTGGGCCAGCGCGCCACCGCTCTACACGCTCATCGACGTGCTCAAGTACAGCTACGTGCGGCTCGTGTGCAAGGACGTGCGCGCGCCCAGCCGGCCAGCAGTAGGGTGCGTGAGCCCGACCAGGTGTTGGGGGCGTGGGGAAGGTGGGGGAGGGACGCCAAGGTGGGGCCCGAGAGCTCCCCCACGCAGAGACCAGGAGGGAGATACCCCGACCTGGGCTTTTAGGTTCCAAAGAGACCGAGAGGGCGGAGACAGGCTGATACTGGGAGACTTGAAAGACCGAGAATCCCGGAGACTTAAGGCGGAGAAGCAGGGGGAAATTAGGTTCTGCACGCACACAAGCTGAGCTGCAGAAATAGCCCGGGATAAAGAAGAAATCCAGGGGCCGTAGCCATAGTCCAGTGGGGAGGGCTCTTGCCTTGCACACAGCTGACCCGGGATTCTGTCTTCAGCATCCCAAATGGCCCCTCCTGCACCACCAGGACTGCACCGCCAGGAATAATTCCTGATTACAGAGCCAGGAGTAACCTGAGCATTGCCAGGTGTGGCCCCCAAAGCAAAATCAAGTAAAAATTATAAAGGAAGGAAAGATATAACCTGGGATAAAGAAGAAATCCAGTGGCTGAGAGATAGTACAGCCAGTAGGGTGCATGGCCTTGCACACAGCCAACCTGGGTTCAATACCTGACATATAAGGTCCCATGATTTCTAAGCATTACTGGGTGTGATCTAAGGACAAAAACAATCCATTCAGTATGTACAGTGGGGACAGGCTTTTCCTGAGTGAAGAGGAGAGGTTTGGTGATATATTCCCTGTCCTTCTGGAACTTTCAGACTGGCTTGTTTATACTTGGATTAACAAGCTAACCAAGCATTCCCTTCTACTGTAATGCTACAAGTGGGGGCCAGAGCATGGTCCCTGCGTGGACAGGGCTGTGGTCCCTGGCTGGGGAACCTCAGAGTGGGGTTGTCGAATAAGATTACAGTGAGGGACCCATGTCTGACAGGAGGTCCACATCTAACGTGGATGGACTTGAGCTCAGGGCTGGCATCGCCTTTAACAAAACATGATTCCAAGCAACCTGCTCGGAGCCACTGCTAAGAGCTGTCCTGAGTGTTTGAACCGACAGCCAGTCTTGGGGCTTCTCAGAGGCTCATGGAGGAGACAAAGAGCAAAAGCAAACCACAAGAAAGGGAAAGTATATCAGGGGGTGGGGGTAGACCCATAGTGCTCAGTAGGTAGGGCACTTGTCTTGCACAAGGCTCACCACGATTCAATTCCTGGCATTCCAAATGGTCCCTCAAGCCTCGCCAGGAGTAATCCCTGAGCACAGAGCCGGGAGTAAGCCTGAGGATCACTGGGTGTGGCCTAAAACAAAAAGTCATGTTCTCGCCTCCTGAGAGCTCCCAGGGTGGTTCTGGAGGGCTTCCTGGAAGAGGAACATTTTAAAAGGTTTTATTTGTATGTCTACGAGTGTGCTATATTTGGCATTTAGTGCCTGGGATCCAGGGGTTCTTAACTACCTGCCAGGCCCTGGATAGTAAGGGTTTACTCCTGGGGTGCTGGCAGTAACCAGGATTAGGCTGGTACTGGGAGGGGGGTGCTGGCATTGCCAGGGATTGAGTTTAGAGCCTTGTGCTCCCTCCTTTCAGCTCTCTCTCTGCCTTTTATTTTTGTTTTGTTTTCTAGCAACTGCCTTCACTTTGTGTTGGCTTCTAGGGCCCTGGCTCTAATGATCCCATGTTGCTGCATGTTGTTTGTTTGTTTGCTTGCTTGCTTGGTTGCTTTTTAATTTTCCAACAAAGCTTGGCAAATTAGACCCTGGAGCCAAATCTAACCTGTAGTCCACTTTTGTAAATAAAGTTTTATTGGAACGCAGCCACACCCATTAACTTGCATATGTGTGTCTCCGTGACCTTGTTAAAAGCCTAGTGCTTCTTCAGAAAAATTCATGCTTGAGTATGCAGTGATGAATTTTCCCAAAGCAATACTGGACCCCACAAGCAAGAGAGAAGCAGATCCGAGTGCCAGGAGGATGCCACCACCTCACCCCCCACCATAGCGTCCCCAGGGGTGAGCGATGTTAGGTTAAATGCTCCATCTCAACAACAGAGGTGACTGTGTATTATGGAACTTATTAGAAAGAGAAACCACTTGGATGGGCCTCATTTGTGCCTTACTGGTTCCTCACCAGTTTGTGAGCCCTGCTGTTCAGGGAGATGAGTATAGGAACAGTTTACTTATGCTAATTGTAGGTGAATATTTTCTTTGGAGACTATTCCCCAAGCATTGGGGTATTTCCGGCAACACTTCCTTCTGTTGTTTTTCCCTTGATGGCTAATGTGTTTAAACACCTTCTTTTGGGCAGGGGGGTTAAGGGGCTGAGGCATTGGGCCACATCCAGCTATGCTCATGAATCACTCCTTGGTAGGGCTTGGGGAACCATGTATGGTGCTGGGGATCAAGCCTGGGTCAGTTGCAAAGCAAGGCTCAGGGACAGTCTACACCTGTGATGTGTTTTTTGCTGAACTGTAATATTCTGAATTTTATTCAGAATCAGAACATTGCTGAGCCCAGGAGACTTTGAAAACAGGGGCCAGCCTAGGCCAACATTCACTTAGGGTGGGAGTGTATAAGAACCAGAGCAGACCAGGGGAAGGGTCTGCTTCCGGACTGTGTTTTCTAGAGCTTTCCACCTATCAGCCCTTCATGCTCAGCACAAATCTAGGAGAAATGTATTAGGGGTGTGGCTTCCCTCTCATCTAGGGGGAAACTGAGGCCACCAGCGTCTATACTGCCAGCATTCTTGCCTCTGCTGGGGAAAAAACTAATTTAAATAACAATCAGGGGTCTTTGGGAGCTGCAATTGGCAGTGCTCAGGGCTTGCTCCTGGCTCTGTGCTCAGGGTGGGGCTCAGGGGTCCCTATGGCGCTGTGCTATTTCCCACCCCTTCAACAATTGGAAGAGAAAGAGGGCTGGGCAGAAGTCAGGAACATGCGCTTTGCATGCGTTTGAGTTCCATACACACAACCCAGTACCCCACTCCACCAAATTTTAAAACGAAGGCAAGCAGTAAAAGCAAGAGGGCATGCAGAGGAGGGCCGTGTAACCTGCTGTGGTCCTGTCCCCACAGGCCCTCCCAGGCCGGCTGCCCGGCTTTCATCATTGTCAAGCTGAGCCCGCTTCGGGACCGCCTGGTGGTGACCGAGTGCCAGCTGACTCACTCGCACCCCGCCTGCCCGCTGGAGTTTGCCTACTACTTCCGGCCGGGCCACTTGCTGGCCAACGCCTGCCTGCCTGTGCGCACCACCAACCGGATCTCCAAACAATTTGTGGCCCCAGCCGATGTGCGCCGTCTGCTGTCCTCCTGCAAGGGCCGCGATCACGGCGTCCTCGATGCGCTGCACGTGCTCGAAGGGCTCTTCCGCACCGACCCAGAGGCCAAGGTGGGGTCTGGGGAGAGGCGCGGCGAGGGACTCCCCGGGCCATTCATTCATTCATTTATTCATGCGTTCCTTGATGCTTCCCTGCACACTCTCGGCCCGTGCAGACTGTGATGTGTGATGTGCAACCGCCGGCGAGGCTCGCGCCCCCTAGCGGCGCTGTAGTGCAGTAGCACCTTTGGCGGCCCAGCTCTGATTTGGAGACGCGCCCGGTGTGGGTGGCCCCTAAGCACTGAGGACCTGAGTACAAAGTTGCCGCGAATTGGCATTTCAGCAGCAGCTTTTATGGCTGTTGGCCGCCTTGCAGGGACCCCCTATTGGAATCTCTGGAAATTGTAGAGGGAGACGCCGCATCCCAAGGTCATGTAACAGCCCGAGCAATAGTATGGCGGGAGGGCATTTGCTTTGCATGTGGCCCACCTGGGTTTGATCCTGGGCATCCCATATGGTCCCCTGAGCATAGAAGTGATTCCTGAATGCAGAGCCAGGAGTAAACCCTGAGCACCGCTGGATATGACCCAAAAATCAGGGGTCATTAGGGCCTTAGAAGCCAACATAAAGTGAAGGCAGTTGCTAGAAAACAAAACAAAAATTAAAAGGCAGAGAGATAGCTAAAAGGAGGGGCCACAAGACTCTAAATTCAATTCCTGGCACTGCCAGCACCCCACCTCCCAGCAGAATCCTGGTTACTGCCAGCACCCCAGATCTGAGCACTGAGCTATCCAGTCAGAAAGTAAGTAACTGGTCTTGCCCTTGGCCCACCAGGGTTTGGTCATCTGACCCCTGCCATGAGTAAGCATGAGCATAGCTGGGTTAACCCTCCCCTGACCCCCCCCCCCCCCCCCCCCCCGCCCACCACACACACAGTGTGGAATGGATGTATGAGTTCAGTGGATGGGTGAATGGATGAATGGGAAGGTGAGTGCATGGGTGGGTAGGTGGGTGGATGAATGGGTAGGTGGGTGCATGAGTAGGTGGATGGATGGGTAGGTGGGTGCATGGGTGAGTGGATGGATGGGTAGGTGGGTCGGTAGATGGATGAGTGGGTGGGTGGGTAGATTGGTTGGATAGATGAATAGACTGATAGATGGGTTGAATGGATGGATTGATTGGAAGGGTGGTGAGTGGGTGGATTGGTTGGATGGATGGGTGGATAGATCAGTGAATTGAATGGGTGGGCAGGTGGACGCCGAAAGCATGGAACTCTGACGCCCTGCCTCCCCTTCCTTACCGGCCTGCAGGTGAAGCTGGTGTTCGTGGAGGACCAGGCGGTTGTGGAGACGGTGTTCTTCCTGACGTCACGCACCCGGGCACTGCTGCGGCGCTTCCCACGCATGCTGCTGGTGGACCGGATGCCAGGGCTGCAAGGTGCGCTGGACCTGCTGGCCGTGCTGTGTGTGGACAGTGCAGGCCGTGCGCGCCAGGCAGCCTGCTGCGTGGCACGCCCGGGCACGCCTAGCCTGCTGCGCTTCGCACTGGCCTCCCTGCTGCAGAGCGCGCCCGATGTCAAGGGCCGCGTGCGCTGCCTGACGGCAGGGCCCGAGGTGGCCGCGCAGCTGCCCGCCGTGCGCCAGCTGCTGCCCGGCGCGCGTGTACAGATCTGCCGCGCGCAGGGTCTGGAGACGCTGTTCAGCAAGGCGCAGGAACTGGGCGGCGCGGGCCGCGAGGACCCTGGGCTGTGGCCGCGCCTGTGTCGTCTGGCCGGCGCGGCATCACCAGCCGCCTACGCCGAGGCCCTGAGCGAGCTGCGCGCTCACGGCCCCGCCGCCTTTGTCGACTACTTCGAGCGTAACTGGGCACCGCGCCGGGACATGTGGGTTCGTTTCCGTGCCTTCGAGGCGGCCCGAGATCTGGATGCGTGCGCCCTCGTGCGCAGTCACCGCAGGCGCCTGCTGCGCCGCCTGAGTCCATCGCGGGGTGTGGCGCAGTGCCTCCGCGACCTGGTGGCCATGCAGTGGACCGATGCGGATGGTGAGGTGGTGCCCGACAGCCCCGAGGGGACGGCTCCTTGGTCGGAGGGTGGGCCCGGGAGAGGCGCCCAGCTGGACCAGGATAGCGCCAAGAGCTTGGAAGCAGTGGCCTGGGGTGAGGTCCCCAAAGAAGGAAGTCTTTGGCGAGGGCCCCCATTGGAGAAGGAGTGGGCCAGAGGCCTGGAAAGCCGAGAGCGGACAGGAGCTCGGCTAGAAAGTGACCACGAGAGGGGCTGGCCCCTCCGAGATTGCAGAGCGGGTGCAGTAGAATCCCCGAAGGCACGGGCGCTGCAAGGGCGCCCCTGGATTGCCGGCCAGCAGGAGATCTTAACCTCATCAGCTCCCGAGATCAGAGACTGGAGGGGGCCCCCGTGGGAGGGAGAGAACGAGTGGAGCGGGGACTGGGCGGTGTGGAGGGGCGGACCCCAGCTGGAGGCGCAGGCACTGAGGGTGGCCGAGAGGTTTGCGGTGAGGAACGCGCCCTCGGAGGAACTCAGGACGCGGGGCTTGGAGGCCACAGAGCGGAAAGGAGCTGTAGCCGACGGCCAGAGGCCCGGGGGTGTTGGGGGGATCTCCTGGACCGGCCTCCCAGCGACGCTCGAGGAAAGGGCCAGCGGACCGAGTGCCCGAGACTGGCCGGCGCTGCAGCTAGAGGCTGGGCAGGGTGGAGGCCTGGAGACCGGACTCTGGCTAGGGCGCCCCCTGGCCCCGAGCCCGGAACTGGTGCCGGAGAACGGAGATCTGCGGGCCCCCCGCTGGAGAGAGGAGAGACAGGTAGGGGCAGAGACTGGAGAAGAGAGAGGAGTGAAGTTGGGGTTCCCCAGGAGAGACCCGGAGGAGGTGGTGCTGGTACAGCTGGGGGACGCGCGGGGGACCAGCCTGGAGAATGGGGACACCCGGGGAGCCCAACCTGGAGACCCCGGGAGCAGAGGAGGGCCCGAGGCAGATCCCGGAGTGGGGTGCAGTGCCCTGGTGGGGAGCGTGTTTGAAGGAGAGCAGGAGTGGGCAGTCACTGGCGGGATCCACGTAGCCACAGGGCTGCACCCACAGGACACAGGTGAGAGGGAGAACCCCCAGGGATACCAGCACCTGCCAGGGCCCCCAGAGGAGCAGGGTCCTGACTGGGAGCCGCTGGCCAAGTTCAGGGCAGCCTGCGGACAAGAGCTGGCAGAGCTGGTGGCCGAGGAGTTGGCCTTCGCTCGGCGCCATGGCACGAGGGGCTTCCGCTGGACCGGAGCCGGCTTTGCCCTGCAGGACGGCACCTCAGACTTCGTCCTGGACCGCGCGCTGACTCGCTGCAGCTGCTCCATCCACGCGGCCCGCCGCCTCCCCTGCCGACATGTCTTCGCTGCGCGCCTACTGACAGGTGCTGCCTTGTTCCACATGGACCTGCTCAGGGACTGCTGGGGGCAAGTCCCAGAGCCCTGAACCCCCGGGACCTGCCAACCTGCCACCCTCCTCCAGGAGGGGAGTCTCTGATCCCAAAGATAACAGGACTGGGGCCCCGGCAGCACCCTCCACCCAGACCCCCCAGCCCTTCAGCTTAGCTGCTCGCCTTTGGGGGGGGCACCTCGGTGGGGGGAGCCGCTCACACATGTCATGAGCGGTGGAGACAGGGTTGGGCAGAAGCCACAGCTGCTGAGAGTACACGGGCTGGATGTGGCCACGCCGGGAAGGTTTGGGAGCAAGAAAGACCCAAAGAGGGAGAGGGAGGGGAGAAAAGCGCAAAGGGATGGGAACAGAGGGACATGGTGAGGATGGCCACAGCAAGCTAAGGGGTGCACAACCCAGAGCCATGGTGGGGAGGAAATGGAGAGAGAAGTTTGGGGTTTTTCTCCGAGGCTTGAAGCTTTGGATCCCCTGTGCCTCATTCCTTGACAGAGAGCTCCCTCCCCCGCTCTAGCCACCCAGGCCAGCTGGACACTCCCAGCGGGGCCGGCAACCACCTGATCCTTGCTCTTGGAGATTGGAATAAAAGCGCGCTATTTTGGTCTGTGTGCCGAGTTCTTGGTTTTCCAGGTTGAAACAGCTCGTGTTCCTCCTCCCTTTGGCCATGTGGGGCTGGAGAGTGGACAATGAGAACTCACCAGCAGCCCAGGCCAGCAGTTCCCTTGACCTGACCAAGTAGAAAAGGGGCAAGTGTGCCTCTCCCCAATTTCACCCTCTAGTGGCCTGTCTGTATCCATCGAGGCCACTGTGCCAGGAAGGAATTTCAAAAAGAGACATGTGTGAGGGCTGAAAGGTGGCACCAGTTTTGTATGTGGCAGCACCAGCAGCGACCCTGGTTCAATCTTCAATCCCTGGACACCTCATGTGGATTGAGCACCACCTGGGGATGCTCCTGAGCACAGTCAGGATTCGCCCCAGATCACCCCAGTGCCTGGGAAAAGGGAAGGTTTTCAGCTCCAGGAAGCAGCCAGCCTAGACCTGGCAAAGCACCTAGAGGGGCTTCAGTTGATGCCTCACTGCAGGGGCAAGAAATGCAGGTCACAAAAGTTCAGCACTTCTCAAACAATGTGAATAGGAGGCACCAGTGCCACACTTTAGAGTTCGAGTCAGTAGGAACATTCTAGAATGTTCCCTCCATGCAATACTAGGATGCTCCTTGGGAATGCTGTGGTCACTAGAGCAGTGATTAGGGAGGCGAAGAGCAAAATTGGAGGGCAGCAGACACCCTGTGGAGTTGTGGCATGCAGAGCCTGTAACTGGCAGCATTATGAACCCCGGTGCCTAAAATTTTTAGATACCCAAGCCAGGGGGGCTCCCGGGCAAAGCACTGGCGGCACTCAGCCCTCTGGGACTTGTAGTTTTCTGGTGCAGACACAGGTGGCCCATGAGTGAGTTGGATGGGGGTTCCACAGATGGTCACCATAGCAACGAGGCAGCAGGACAAAGCACAGCCCCTCCAGCCTTTGTGTCATTTTTAGTCTTTTCTCTTTCCTGCTCAGGGCTCTCTTGGAATTGAGCTCTGGAGATACCAAAAGCGACAAAATGTGTGCACGTGTGCATGCATGTGTGTGTGTGAGAGAGAGAGACAGAGAGAGACAGAGAGAGAATGTGTGTGAGCATGCATCTACGTGTCTGTTTGCCTCCAGCAACATTCTGAGCCTGGATCTCTGCAGAAAACTGTCAATTGTGAGTTCAAGAATAGGTGCATTCTGTGGCCAAGAACCATTCCCCCAGCCAGCAACAGACAAAGGAAGGAACGGAGTCACAGGCTAGTTGGTAATCAGTGATGACTGTTTATTCAAGTCTCAGAGCATTAGTTATATAGAAATCAGGAAGGGTGGGGGTACCCTTAGGTGCAGTTGAACATTATCATAACAATAAACAGATGTAGAGCCCCTCCTTCCAGGGAAGTCCTTCTAGGAGATTAACTCAAGAGACAAAATTTCGTCTGGGGTTGAGCACTCTAGTTACTAGATCTGCTCAAGGTCAGGATTCCAACAAGGGCATATTGCTTTCTCCTTTCCTTAGCTAGTAATCCTTTTATTTCTAGTCATTTTGTATGAACACAGTAAGAGATATATTAAACTTGAGGGGTGGCCCTTCCTGGGGACACCTCGCTATACATCCCAGACTATAGTCCTCAGGCCAGGTTAGTCTTTCCTAACCCCAGCAGGGTCCCTATTCAGTTACTTCTTTTTGGGTCATGACAGATTTTTTCCACGACTGTGCTCTTAACTTATTATACTTCTTATGGCACTTAGCCTCTCTCTTTTCGATGCCAGGGTAGCTTATGACTTGCTCTGGGTCCACCCTAGCCAGGAACCTCTTTTGGGGGTGTTAGGAACTGAGGGCAACTAAGGCTTAAGTAAATATAATAGACATCCAGAAATAGATATTATTCAGAGTTAATTAACTCCCAAATTACAAAAGCATAGCTTAACTGTCTTCCTGTGTCTATACAAAAAGGACATTGCTCTAAAGAAAACTGCCGAAAATCTCAAGGCCGAACTAGGCTGCCACAACGAAGGAAGACAAAAATGATCATCTGTACTTTCAATGCACGTATGCTAGCATCAGATGCATCCATGGAGGACCTGATGGTACAAGCGCGAAAGATCAAGTACAACATCATTGGTTTGACTAAGACAAGATGGCACCAATCTCATCACGCCATTTTCTACACTGGAGAAGAATTGTTCCTTGGAACATGTGATAAAAGAGGTATCGGAGGCGTCGGTGTCCTTGCCAATACAAACTTGGCCATGAGCATTGATTCATTCGAATGCTTAACAACCCGAATCGGATGTTTACATTTGAATAGATGTGGCTCACTGCCGGCAGTTTCTATCTTCGTTGTCTACACACCAACATCCAATTATGATGAAGGAGAATTTGAGAAGTTCTACATGGAGCTGGAGAAGTTCTATAAAGAAGACCACACCTTCTACAAGATCATTGTGGGTGATTTTAATGCCAAGATAAGACCAAGAAGATCAGCCAAAGAACTTCACATCCGGACCCATGGCCTAGAATGGAACGAACAGGGTGAGAGACTGTCTGAGTCGACCAAGACCATCCATGGTAACTCAAGGTTCCAGAAGGCTGAATCTAAACGTTGGATATGGGAGTCTCCTGGTGGACGATTCCACAATGAAATAGACCACATCATATTCAATCGACGGTTTTGCCTGACCAATGTCGCTGTTGTCCCAAAATTCCAAACGGGATCAGACCACTGTCTCCTTCGTGCAAAATTCTACTTCACAGAGTGGGGAGAAAGGGCTGCAAAGTTTAAGAGAACTCCCAGAACGACCACCAACTGGGAGCTCTTTGGCACTATTGCGGCAACATCGGAAGATGCCATTGTTGACAACATTGACGAGGAATACGATCAACTAATTCAGCACCTCCATGATAGTGCGAGGAACACCAAGAGAGAGAAAGCCACAAAAAAAGCCTGTCTTCAAAAATAAAGGAAAGAGAAAAGCAATATTTCATTTACATATACAAAAATCTAGAGTCCTCAGAAGAATTTGACTTTACAAGTCACAGAGTCTGATTTTGGGATGTAGTAATTAACAGGGGAAGAAGAGCACTAAGGAGAGGTTAAAGATAAACACAGGGGCTGGAGCGATAGCACAGAGGGTAGGGCATTTGCCTTGCACACAGCCGACCCAGGTTCTATTCCCAGCATCCCATATGGTCCCTCGAGCATGGCCAGGGGTAATTCCTAGGTGCATAAGCCAGGAGTAACTCCTGTGCATCACCGGGTGTGACCCAAAAAGGAAAAAAAAAGATACACAGAGAAATGAGAGTTCCTGATAGAATTGGTATGCCTCGGGAGCACTGTGATGGGAGTAACTCAATAAACCTAAGCTCCCCTGTGGGGGGGAGAAAGGACAAACCAGTGTCATCCAACAATCAATGACATGAACTCAGTCACAGAGATTTGGACGGAGTGAAACATAAAACCATGTTAGACATATGAATTTCTTTTCCTTCTCAAAGGGCTCTGAGAATAGGTATTATGTAGTCTTTCTCTGTTCATAGTCTGGGTAACTTGTTTTTAATAGAATTAACATTTATGATCTTGGTAGGTACGATTACTGCACCCCACCATCTTCAAGGTGCACGAGCCCCTCCGCCAATGTTCTAGTATTATTTTTAATTCAGTTAGTCATTCCTCTCCGCACATCAACCCTCCCCGCCGCAATTTGACGTTCTCTGTTTTATAATCCGGAGGCAAGGCTTTGCCATCTTTCCATGAACGCCATTCCTTTACTTTGTCTCTGCACCACAGATGAGCCAGGGGTGGCTCCAAGCACTGTTGAGTGCATGAGTCTTCCACCCGCATCCCCCAAAATTGACTGCTATCGTTTTACTTAAAGTCAAAGTTTCCTGGAGCCAGGTGGTAACACCACAGTGGAGCATATGATACTCAGGATTTTCCCTGCAAGGCAGAGATGAGCTTGAAAACCTCTATCGGGCTTCTCAGTCACCTTGTCCTTAGCTGGACCCCTCCTGTGCCGTTCACCAGGTCACTTCAAACCCTCTTGTTGCTCTGCTCCCTCACTTTGCACTTAATTTTTTTTAGTTTTCTGGATTATACCCAGTGATGCTCAGGGGTTAGTCCTGGCTCTGCACTCAGGAATTACTCCTGGCGATGCTCAGGGGACCATATGGGGTGCTGGGGATCCAGCCCAGGTGCATACAAGTCAAGCGCCTCCCCGCTGTGCCCTTAATAATCCATTCTTTCCATATGCCTCATCTCCCCTCAGAATTGGGTTTCCAAATGAAAATACAGGATGCCTTGTGAGAGCTGAATTTCAGAGAAATGACGACTACCTCCAAAGGGACGAGGTGTTTACTGGACAGCTAAGTCTCTCAGTGCCCTGCTTTCTCTTAAAACTGGTGATCCAACTTCTAATGCTTTATCTGCTACAAAACCCCAGGGCCGGTCCAGACTAGTTCTGAGCTGGTGTCTATAAATAGCAGGAGCATGGTTATGTATAATACTCTTTGTGGTTTTATTATAGTTTGGGTTAAGTATGTGGTATTTATGTACCACTTGACTGGACCCTTCTACTGCCAACTTGTCTTCAACCCTCCACCATGCCCTAGGTCACCTCTGGTCCCCCCATTATTCCCTTGTCCCCACCCCCCTGGCCTTGGTAATCAGTATTGTTAGCCAAGGTTGTGGCTGATAGTTTCTTTTTCCCTTGCTCTGTCTCGGAAGTGTGCTC